CCCCACTCAGTGCAGAATCTGCTTGAAATTCTCTCTCCCAGGGCGTCTAGGTGGCTCAGTCGTTAAACATCTGCCTTCGGCTCAGGTCATGATCCCAGGGTCCTGGGATCAAGCCCCGCATCAGGCTCCCTGCTCAGCCAGGAGCCTGCTTCTCCCTCTCCTGCCCCCCCGCCCTGCTTGTGTTCCCTCTCTAGCTGTCTCTCTGTCAAATAAATAAATCTTTAAAAAAAAAAAAAAGAAAAAGAAAGAAAATCTCTCTCCCTTTGCCCTTCACACTTGTGTGTGTGCATGTGCTCGCTCTAATAATCTTTTAAAAAATAATAATAGGGCGCCTGGGTGGCTCAGTTGGTTAAGCGACTGCCTTCGGCTCGGGTCATGATCCCAGAGTCCCTGGATCGAGTCCCGCACATCGGGCTCCCTGCTCGGTGGGGAGTCTGCTTCTCCCTCTGACCCTCCCCCCTCTCATGTGCTCTCTCTCATTCTCTCTCTCACAAATAAATAAATAAAAAATCTTTTAAAAAAATAAATAAAATAAATAAATAAAAAATAATAATAATTTTTAAAAGGTAAGTAAGAAAAATTAAAAGTATGACAGTGATAAAGAGTATGGAGAAAAATTAAACTAGTAAAAAGAGAAGGACTGTAAATTTTAGATAAGGGACCCAGCAAAACCCTCGCTGAGAAGGTGGAAGGTAAGAGAGCAAGCCATATGGACATCCTGGGGAAGAATGTTCCAGGCAGAGGAAAAAGCAAATGTGAAGGCCATCCTCCATATCTGAGGAAATGCAAGGGAACCATGCACTTGGAGCAGAGAGGGAGAAAGTAAGAAGCAGATGAATGAAAGTGAAGTGAGAGAGTGGCACAGATCACATAGGGCCTTACTGTTCACTGCAAGGACACTGTCACTCTAATGTATGGGAAACTACAGAAACATTTTGAAGAGTAGTAACATGATCTGAATAATTTTAACAGGATCATTCTGGCTGTTATGTTGAAAATACAATGAAAAGTTATGTAAGTGAAAGTAAAGAGATAAGACAGGTTATGCTGCTCAAAAGCATGATCCTAACCAGCAACATCAATCTTACTCAGGAGCTTGTTAGAAATCCATTATCTCAGGTCCCATTCTAGACTTTCAAAATAAAAAATTTCTGGGAAAGGAACCCAAGAATCTGCATTTTAATACAATTCCCAGATAATTCATATACATATTAAAGTTTGGGGGGAAAAAAAAGTTTGAGAAGCCCAGATCTAAAACACTCACCCCTCAAATATTCATCACGCTCCCTCTCTTACCATTTTCCTTCAAGTATTTCTCTAATGTTACTTTCTCAGTGACAATTTAAATTTGAAACACCACCATCAGACACAGTAGCATCATTCCCTACAATCTTTCCTATTTTTTCTCATAAGATTTATTACCATCTAACTTATGACATACTTTCATTATTTACTATATATGCTGTCCCTCTCCTCCTACTAGAATATTAGCTCCTTTAAGCAATGTCGTCTCTTTTGTTCATTGCTAAATTCCTAGCAACTAAATTAGTACCTGACACATAGCAGAAACCCATAAAAATATTTATTGGATGAATGGCAAAAGGAAAAGCTAGAAGTGCTAACTGGAAGCTAAAGTTGGGCCTAATGAAGTAAGATTAATGGGCGCTTGGGCGGCTCAGTTGGTTAAGCGACTGCCTTCGGCTCAGGTCATGATCCTGGAGTCCCTGGATCGAGCCCTGCATTGGTCTCCCTGCTCAGCAGGGAGTCTGCTTCTCCCTCTGACTCTCCCCCCTCTCATGCTCTCTCTCTCAAATAAATAAATAAAATCTTTAAAAAAAAAAAAAGGAAGATTAAGCCACTAACTTCAGGTGGGCCTGATATTAGTCAAAATTCTATAAAGCCTTTTAAGTCCAAATAGGCAATGATTTATATATCAAAGTTTTATTCTATTTAATTTATAAAGGGGCACTCTAATGAGAAATCATTAATTTAAATATAATTTGGACCTTTTCATATGAGGAAAAAAGCACTAAACAATTATGTATGAACATGACTTCGAGGCAAATATTACACATACTGAATTCTTTAATGAAAAACAACTGCTGTACTATAAATCATTCTTCTGAATTTGTTAAACCAAGTCTCCCAAAAGGACCTCTACTTGGTCTACTAGCTTCTTTAAATTAGTTCAACTTGTTCTCCATATTAACAAATAACAAAACTGCATTTAATTAGAGAAATAATAATAATAAAGGATACTCATTCATTGCCACCACATGCCTACCATGTCAGGTACTACATGAAACACTCCATTAGAGTACTTCACTTAACCTTCATAAAATAGGCAGCAGCATCTTAACTTTTTTTTATTTTTATTTTTTTTAAGATTTTATTTATTTATTTGACAGAGAGAGAGACACAGCGAAAGAGGGAACACAAGCAGGGGGAGTGGGAGAGGGAGAAGCAGGCTTCCCACTGAGCAGGGAGCCCGATGCGGGGCTCGATCCCAGGACCCTGGAACCATGACCTGAGCCGAAGGCAGACGCTTAACGACTGAGCCACCCAAGTGCCCCTTAACTTTTTTTAAAAAAATAAAGAAACTGATTGGCTGCCTGGGTGGCACAGTCAGTTAAGCATCTGACTACTGGTTTCAGCTCAGATCATGACCTCAGGGTTGTGAGAGATAGCCCCGAGTCGGGCTCTGTGCTCAGCAGGGAGTCTGCTTGAGATTTTCTCTCCCTCTCCTTCTCCTGCTCATGCGTGCTCTCTCTCTCTCTTTAAATAAATAAATCTTAAAAAAAAAAAAATGAGGAAACTGAAACATGTTCTAAAGGATAAGCAGCTTACCTGATGTGTATCTAGATACATTATCTCTATCCATTCATTATGTATATCAGTACATCTATTCATATTATATAAATTTAAAAAATAAAGTATAAGTAGCTTATCCAAGATTACAGACTTACTAAGTGGGGAAGATGGGATTCAAAACCTATGCAATTCTACTCTAGAGCCCACACTGTCAATCATATCACTGTCACTTCATTTACTTTCCCTTTTTAAAAAAATAATCCTTGGGGCGCCTGGGTGGCTCAGTCGGTTAAGCGGCTGTCTTCTGCTCAGGTCATGATCCTGGAGTCCTGGGATCGAGCCCCGCGTCGGGCTCCCTGCTCAGCGGGGAGTCTGCTTCTCCCTCTCCCTCTGCCTGCCTCTCTGCCTACTTGTGCTCTCTGTCAAATAAATAAATAAAATCTTTAAAAAAAAAATCCTTGGAGGCACCTGCGTGGCTCAGTCAATTAAGCATGTACCTTCAGCTCAGGTCATGATCTGGGAGTCCTGGGATTGAGCCCCACATCAGGCTCCCTGCTCAATGGGGAGTCTGCTTCTCCCTCTCCTCCCCTCTCTCTCTTTCTCAAATAAATAAATAAAATCTTTGGGAAAAGTAATAATAATCCTTAATCAGATATTTCACTAACTCAAGCATTCAAACCCTTGTAAGTGATCTTATGCGATTTCCCAACTTCAATCATTCACATACTATCATGTTCAGATTTGTCTTATCTGAACACTATCAGCAGTGTTATTTTTTTGATACTATCTTTAAATTGACTTACTTTTTTTGGCCTTCTCCTAAACTATATTTTTAAAATTATGAAGTTGGTATTTTTCTTATACACATAAAGATATGTGTATTAAAGTTTAAAAAAAATGGTCTGTCAATATACTATCAATTGTGTATCATCAGAAATAAAAGAAACTATATTTAAACTCTTTACCAGAGTTTCTCAAAGTGTAATATATAATGACTTAGAAATAGGGTTTTTTTTGTTATTCATATATCAAGGTTTTATTTACCCAGCTGAAACATGAGAAAAAAGCCAAAAAAAATCCATTAAGTTAAACAAAACCAAGATTAAAAGTACTCAAAAGACATAGACAACATTTATAAGCAATTAAAGCTAAGATCAAAATACCAAAAGAAAATGAATTTTACACCAGAATTCTCAAGTAAATTGCAAGTGTCCTAACCAATCTCTGCTTCCTGTAAGGAATTTGCTGCGCTACAGTCCAAACGATTAAAAACATGTATAAATATATCTGATCATAGCACTACCTTGCTTCAAACTCTTCAATGGCTTCTCAAAATACTCATCATAAAGTGCAAACTTCTATCACATCTTAAAAGGTCCTTCATTCTCCAATTATTGTGTGCATTTTCAGCTGGATCATTTGCCACTTTCGCCCCCAATTCTGTTCCAGTCATACTTAATCTCAGTCATACTCTTATTTTCACTTTTATGTCCTGCATTTTCTCAATCCAAAGACTAAATCCCTCAATTAAATCATGCACTCTTTCAACTCTAAGTTTTTGCACTGAACTAAATTACCATTTTATTTATGTGTATCACCCTCATCTAAGTAGAAGCATCCTTGAGATTTGGTGTTGTATTTTTTGTTTTTCCATTGTAAACATATGCTTGGCATATAAAAGGAACTCAGTACATATGTTTGTTGAATGAATGAGCCACATATTACCAGGACCACTGAAAAAGTGTGTAAGTGTGGGGGCACCTGGGTGGCTCAGTCGTTAAGTGTCTGCCTTAGGCTCAGGTCATGATCCCAGCATCCTGGGATCCAGCCCCGCATTGGGCTCCCTGCTCAGTAGGAAGCCTGCTTCTCCCACTCCCCCTGCTTGTGTTCCCTCTCTCGCTGTGTCTCTCTCTGTCAAATAAATAAATAAAAAATCTTAAAAAAAAAAAAAGTGTGTGTGTACATACACATGCATGTACAGACTACAGGAGCCACTAATTTCTATTTGCACAGGCTTTTTATCTACCATAATAAATGTAAAGGTTCTTTTTTAGCTTAAAAAGCTGTATTATTAATGTCCTTTTTGTAATTAAAGTAGTTAAAATCAAACTAAGGATAATCTAAAGTATATTAATATAGGAAAATCTCTCCAAAAATGTGACCTGTGGGATAATCTAATTTGTACTTACTCAAATCATCCGATATGTCTTCAATTCCTGAAGCACTATCATCAGAATCAACAGTATTATCTGTACATGCTTGTCGCTTCTGAGATCCTGGTGAGTTTTCCAAAGCAGATTTTCCTCCCTCTACATCAATATTCACTTTGTCCAGAGTCGTAAAAGAGCTTGGAATTGTTTTTCCAATATGTTGTAATTCTGTCCGTCGCATGTTTTCCTTCAACAGTAAACTGGGAGCCTTCTCTGGTTCTGCTGGTGAACCAGGGACCTTTTCTGATTTCATCTGAGAACTGGGTCCTTTTTCCATTTTCCTCTGTGAACTAAGTGCCTTTTCTGTTGCTGTCGCCTGTGAGCTGGGTGTCTTTTCTGTTTTCACTGGTGAATTAGGGGACTTTGGTGATTTTTCTGCTTTTGCTTGTGAAACTGGTACCTTTTCTGCTTTCACCGGTGAATTAGGTGATTTTTTTGTTTTGCAGTGACTTTGATCTCGAAGGACTAATCCCAAATCTCTAGGGCTTGCTATGTTGGCAGCATTTATTCTACATGATTTAACTTCTGTTTTTTCTATACAAATATCATTTTGCTTATTTTTTTTACTACTATTCTTATTTGGAGAGCTGGTCCCAATTTCTTTTATGGATTTATCATTTCTAGCTTTCAAAGTCTGATTAGATATAACTTTAACTGCTTTGCTTTCTTCAGAAAGAGCCCAAGCATTCTTCTTTGGTTCATGATTTTCATTTTTAGAGGTCTTAGAGTCTTCCATTATTTGAAAACCTGCTTCTTTCCAATTGTGATATTGTTAAATGGCAGATTCCCAGTAGCTGAATTGCTTCAAGTCCAGATTAGGCAAACAAACTATTGGGTTGAAAAAAAAAAAACCAAAATGTGTTATTTAAAATGCAAAAGCCATTTTTCAAAAATTGGTGAGACTTTCAAAAACTTTCAAATTTGTCTCAAAACTGAAGAAATTGTAAAACCTTAAAAAACTCTGTTAACCATATGAGGAATTAAAACCCACTTCGTAAGTAACAGCCAAATGGTCATAAAGAAGGTTCTAATGTAATTATGGCAATATGGCAAAACAGAATTTTAAAAGTAAAATTTGTTCTACATTACTAAATAAGAATTTCAACTAAAAGGGAAATAAAACTCGCAACTGATGTACCACAATTAATATAAAAGGAAATGGAACAAAGAAAACACAGGCATTCCAATCTAGGGGCACCTAGTTGGCTCAGCATGCAACTCTTGATCTCAGGGTCTTACATGGGGTATAGGGATTACTTAATAAGACTGATATTCTCTCTTATTAAAAAAAAGGAACTGATTAGGCTCTTCTTTCTAAGTATTTTTTTTAAAGATTTTATTTATTTATTTGACAGAGAGAGAGAGTGAGAGAGGGAACCCTATGCGGGGCTCGATCCCAGGACACTGGGATCATGACCTGAGCTGAAGGCAGACGCATAACGACTGAGCCACCCAGGTGCCCCTCTAAATTATTTTATAAAGTAATTTTTTAATTATAATTAAAATTTAAGCCAAAACAAACAAAAAATTTAAGCCAAACCACCCTATATTTTCACCATTAGTATCTTTTATGACTAACGTTATTTTCTACTAAAAAGCTCTACCACTTATAGCTATAAAAGAATGTTTTTGCTCCTCATTTTTGGATATTTTAATTCATTTAATTTATACATTCTGCTTTCAGTATTCTTTATAAGGTGTTTCACATAACTGTCAAAACAGTTGCCAAATATATGCCTATGTCTAAACTTTTGTAGAAACTGCTGCACATTCCTAATTTTAAAAATAAAAATGGATCCTATGGGACGCCAGAGTGGCTCAGTTAGTTAAGCATCTGCCTTCGGCTCAGGTCATGATCTCAGGGTCCTGGGATCAAGCCCCACGTTGGGCTCCCTGCTAAGTGGGGAGTCTGCTTCTCCCTCTCCCTCTGTGATCTCTCTTGCTCTCTCTCTCTCAAAATAAATAAATAAAAAATCTTTTAAAAAGTGGATCCTATTTTTTTTAAGATTGATTGATTGATTGATTGATTGATTTGACAGAGATAGAGAGAGCACAAGTAAGCAGAGCGGCAGGTAGAGGGAGAGGGGGAAGAGGCTGCTCCCTGCTGAGCAGAGAGCCTGATGCGGACTCGATCCCAGGATCCTAGGATCATGACCTGAGCCAAAGGCAGATACTTAACTGACTGAGCCACCCAGGTGCCCCTGGATCCTATTTCTAAAAGACCAGTTTTACCTTATCCAATAACCAAAATATTTTTAAAATTTTTTTTTAAGATTTTATTTATTTATTTGACAGAGACAGACAGCAAGAGAGGGAACACAAGCAGAGGGAGTGGGAGAGGGAGAAGCAGGCTTCCCGCGGAGCAGGGAGCCGAATGCGAGGCTCGATCCCAGGACCCTGAGCCGAAGGCAGATGCTTAACTGACTGAGCCACCCAGGCGCCCCAATTTTCTAATGCTATCCTATGATGATGACTCTAATAATTTTGTAGATGCTATCTTACTAACAAAAGCCATAAAACAACAAACTCTTGATTGAGCCATGCTGGTCCACAATTCTGTTTATAAAACTTCTTAGATACACTATTCCTCCACTCAAAAAAACTCCAGGGGCACCTGGGCGGCTTAGTGGGTTAAATGTCTGCCTTTGGCTCAGGTCATGATCCCAGGGTCCTGGGATCAAGCCCCATGTTGGACTCTCTGCCCAGCGGGAGCATGCTTCTCTCTCCCTGCCACTCCCCCTGCTTATACTCTCTCTCAGTCAAATAAATAAAATCTTAAAAAAAAAAAAAAAAAAGTAACAGATGTCCTATTGCTTTAAAAAAAAAAAAGATTCAAAAAAAAAAAACCAGTGTGGTGGGGCACCTAGCTGGCTCAGTCTGTAGAGCATGTGACTCTTGATCTCAGGGTCATACGTTCAAGCCCCACACTGGGCATGGAGGCCACCAAAAAAAAAAAAAAAGTGTGGTAATTTATATGGCAAAATTGCTATTTCTAAGCTATCGACAGTACAAATTTTTCCCAAAAAACTTGTAATTCCTAGAAATAAGTTCTGAGAAGGTAAGGTTTTGAGTAAGGTTCACTGCTTCCCAGTGCACTCATAGCAAAATTGGTTGAGCCAAATAAAAATGTTGGACCTATGTTCTAGTTCCTGGTTACATTTTTAGAATGTAGTAAATGAGAATTAAATGAGATTCTAACCTTATATAAGCAATTATTATCAAGAAAATAAAAAGAATTTGTAACGAATTTCTTTAAAAAGTTGTTTGAAATATAGAAAATAGTATTTAGAATATATCCCATTTCATTTTTATATTAAGACATCAGTCCACTTCCTACTTCTAGTTCTAATCACGTCTTCCTTCCTTGAATCCTTACAATGACTACTGATTACTAGAGACAGGGAGTTCTCAGGCCCTGAGACCTCAACTAACAGCAGGAGCCAGGTTCTTGACTTTGCTGTGAGAAAGAATTCAAGGACAAGTCAGAATGAAGTATAACTGAGGAAGCTTCACTGCAAAGTCAAAGAACATACTCCAAGGAAGGAGGAGTGCGGGCACACTCAGAAAGGGGATCTAAGTAGCACTGGGTAGATGTGAGGCTCTGATTTTTATGGGTGGTTATAATTTGGGCATCAAATACTCATGTGGGGTTCCAGGGAACAGGCGGGGATTTCTAGGAACTCTGCATAATATTACACAATGCTCTACATTAGCTACTATGTGCAGGTATATAGTAGCAGGTAATTTCAGGCTACCTGGGTCTTTGTGTGCATTTAAGTTGCAGTTAAGCAAAGCAACAGCAGCAGAACACTTGTGAGATCATGAGAAACCACAGAGCTATCAGAAGTTTGCTTAATTGCCACAAACTGTCAGGTATCAGACTTTGTTCCCTGTTTTTTGTTTCTCCTGCAAATATCCAGCACTTCCCTATTTTGCATGCCTTACTACCACAATGCTAGGTACTTAGCAGACATTCAAAATGTAATTAGCAATTAAAAGAATATCCACTCCAGACAGATGGCTTCACATCCTTCTTTTCCTGATGAAAACTGAAGCCTTTAGCAGAAACTGGAATTTTCTTTTTTTTTTTTTTAAGATTTTATTTATTTATTTGAGGGAGTGAGCAAGCACAAGCAGGGGGAGAGCCAGAGGGAGAGGGAGAAGTAGGTTCCCCACTGAGGAGGGAGCCCAACTCAGGGCTCCAACCCAGGACCCTGGGATCATGACCTGAGCCAAAGGCAGAAGGCAGATGCTTAACCGACTGAGCCACCCAGGCACCCTTGAATTGTTTCAAGAGTTTTTGATGCTTTTCTATAATTATCCATTACTCAATTGACAGATTGGGCTACAAATTCTAGAGCCTTAGACTTAAGAGTTGTATGGATAACACTAGGTAAGAAAGTTTACCAGAAATAACTGTTGCATAATAGTAGAAAAACTAATCATAGCAGTAATTACTTCTCAAGTAACCGTTTCACAGGACAGACAGGGAAACTATTTTAAGGCATGATTACAGAAAGCCATCAGAAGTTTGTACGGCTTTAAAAAAAAATTAGGGGCACCTGCGTGGCTCAGTTAGTTAAGCATCTGCCTTAAGAGATAAGAAATCGGGGCCCCGGGGCGGCTCAGTCAGTTAAGTATCTGCCTTCCGCTCAGGTCATGATCCCAGAGTTCCGGGATCGAGCTCCACATCCGGCTCCCCGTTCAGGGGGTGTCTACTTCTCTCTCTGCCCCCTCACCCTGCTTGTGCTCTTTCACTCTCTCTCTCTCAAATTAAAAAAAAAAGAGAGAGATAAGAAATAATTTCTGATTTTGTTTACGATTATATCTTCAGTGCCTACAACAGTGCCCAGTTTAAAGTAGGCACTCAATAAACCTATTGCGTGGATTAATGAACACTTAAATTACTTTTAATTGTTCACATTTTAAAAACAAAATAAATCCAAAACATTTTCATTGCATCATGACTTATATTATTTACAGTGTAAATAGGATATATCTCTCTTTCAGAAAGCCTTCCCTAATCTATCCCCAAGGCTCCTACCACCTAAGCTGGGCTCAGATAAATATGCCTCTTTCTATGAACTTTAGTCTTACCTTTCTCATAGCACTCAGTACTTAATACGTTTTTTAAAGGTTTTATTTATTTATTTATTTTAGAGAGAGAGCAAGCAGGAGCAGGGGGAGGAGCAGATGGAGAGGGACAAGCAGACTCCGTGCTGAGTGAGGAGCCCCACATGGGGCTTGATCTCATGACCCTGAGATCATGACCTGAGCCAAAATTAAGAGTCAGATGCTTCACCAACTGAGCCACCCAGGTACGCAGTACTTAATACTTTTTATGTATTTATTTCCTATTTGGACTATAGAAACTTTTTTTTCCAATTTGCTTTCCATAAAACAAATACATATACAGAGTTCAAAAAGTCAACAGTACTACAAGGCAAAACAGTATTTGTCCACCAACTACCCATCTTCCTCCTCAGAAGCAACTTACTTTCAACTCTTTTAGTGGTTTCTTCTGAGATTTATCTCCGTATTTCTAAATTACATGCTTAAGCTGATACTGATCTTAATTTGTTTTAACTTTAGATAGTATCCACAGACTTCCTACTATGGAAGATAAGAATTTGGCTGTCTCAAACATTCCCCCTAGAGACAAACAGAATTATACACACACATATGTTCCTATCCCACCTACATCTTCCGAAGATGATTTCACTAAGAGGTAACAGTATTATTCATGGCTGAGCCAAATATATACTATAAAACTTTCTAAATGCCCCTCAAAATTTATTTTCTCCTTTTCCCACACACATAGCTAGATTGTCTTTCCCAACCTTCCTTACTGTTAGGTGTGTCCTTAAGATCAAGTTGTTACCTCCTCCATGCTCTCCTCGTATCACTGTATAAAATTCTCAATCATCCATCTTCAGGCACAGAGCCAACAATTATGTTCTAATCCAGATCACTGAGTCTCAAGTTTCTGTGCATCAGAATCAGCTAGTTCCAAAATGCAGATTCTGATTCTAATTTGGAGGACTGACATTCTGCATATCTAATAAGCCCAGGTAAAGTCAATGCTGTTAACACTTGGCCATACTTTTGGCTGGACAACATCATCAATGGAACTTGGGCCCCTGAGTGACCACACAGAACTACTCATCTGGATCAGGTGACCACTCACCTAGCAATTGTTATATGAAAGAAAGATAAAATTCTATTTTTTAAGGCACTGTACTAATGGATTTCTGTGTCATGGTAGCCCAGCCTTTTGACTTAATATATATATATAATAATCACATTTTTTTTGGTATACTTTTCAATTTTACCTGGAATTAATCATTACCTCATTTTTCTTAAGATTTTTTTACATACCTATTGATAATTCATTGACAGAACCATAAATCTGTGAATATGTTCAAACACCCATCACATAGTCTATATGTTTGTTTTTGTTGTTCTCTCCTTGAACATCCCCTGTCTAGCACTTGCTGGTCACTACTAGTCTTTTACCACAGCTGTCACCCTGAAACTTCCTTTCACTATCATCCTACCAATTCTTATCCACCCTCATGCTGACTTCTGTCTTCCTCTTCCACAATTTACTCCCTCTTTTTTGGGTGGAGTACATCCTCCAGTACCTAAGAAAGGAAATATGAAAGGTAGTAAAAAAAAAATAATTATGCCCAATTTCTGCATTTCATTCTGTGTAGACAGGCATCCATTATCATAACACTCTGGACTTTTTTCCACTCCCCTCATTCATTCTTTTCCCAAAGACATGGACTAACATATTTCATCAGTGAGTTTGTGAAAATGATGTAGGTAAAACTAAGTATCTCTCTCTCATCCCTCTTCACAGCTAGCTGTTCATAAGGAAGAGAATTCCACTTTCCCATTCGTACTCTAACATTTACAGGTGTAAGTCCCACACAGGGTCTGCAGTTGTGCCTATGCCTGAGTAAGTCTAATTCTGGCACTGAGTATTAATAAACAACTTGAAAATAAAAAATCCATTCTCCAAAGTGAATTTTATCCATAATAAAAATGATAATCTGGGGGTGCTTGGGTGGCTCAGGAGGCTAAGCATCTGCCTTCAGCTAGGGTCATGATCCCAGGGTTCTGGGATCAAGCCCCACACCAGGCTCCCTGCTCAGCAGGGAGTCTGTTTCTCCCTCTCCTTCTTCTCCGGCTCGTGCTCTCGCATGCGCGTGGTCACCCTCTCTCTCTCTCAAATAAATAAATAAAATCTTTAAAAAAAAATGATAATCTGATCTCCATATGCTTCTTTCATCTTTCAGAATTTGTTCAGGATTCAGGAAGGGAAACAGTGCTAATTATTGGGTCCCTTAAGTCCCAAAAAGAAGTAAATCTTGTAAGACTTTATATGTCTTAAATGTCTTTTCTATCTTCATATGTTGTTTAATTAGGTTTAAACTTCTAGGTTAGAAATCATTCACTCAAAATGCAACAGGTATTGTTTCAATGACTTCTAGTTTGTAATGTTAATACTGAGAAAATCATGCCATTCTTATTTTCCATCTTTTTTACTGAACTGCTTTCTTCCTTATGGAAACTTTCAGGATATTCTCTTTGTCTCAGTGTTCTTTTTTTTTTTTTTTTTTTTTTCAGTGTTCTGTAATTTTTTTTTTTTTTTTTTAAGATTCATTTATTTATCTGAGAGAGAGAAAGCACACATGCAAGCAGGGGAGGGCAGAGGGGGAGGGAGAGAGGATCTCAAGCAGACTCCCCACTGAGCACAAAGCCCGACACAGGGCTTGATCTCACAACCCTAAGATCATGACCTGAGCTGAAATCAAGAGTCAGAAAGTTAACCAATGAACCACCCAGGCTCCCCTCAGTGTTCTGTAACTTCTAAATGATAAGCCCTGGAGCAGATATTTCTTCATTCATTTTTCTTGGTATTCAGTTTGCTCTTTTAATCTCTAACTCAAGTCCCCCCCACTCCTAAAAATTTTTTCTTGTATTATGTCTTCTATCATTTCCTCCTTTTCATTTTCTCTTTTTTTCTAGTTCCTATTAATTGGACTTTATGCATCCTACATTGATTCTCCACTTATCTTACCATTTTTCTCCATTTTCCACCTTTATTTTCTTTCCTGAGTGATTTCCTCACCTTTATCTTCCAACTCTTCTACATTTGGAGGAGAGGAGCACAGGAAGTACATACTTTCATTTCTAAAAACACTTTAACTCCCTGATTATTACTTCTTACAAAACTCTGTTCTGGTCTCATTACTATCATCTCTTACATCTGAAGACTAATAGTTTTTCTTAAATTTTTTTCTGCTCCTTGTAGTTTCCTGAATTTCTTACTTGTTTTCTTCTCTATCAAGCACACTAACATACGCATAGGAAAGAGTAAGAGAAAAAAGGAGAAAAATATTTGAAGAAATAATAGCCAAAAATGTGCCAAATCAGATGAAAGACACAATTATACACATCCAAAAAGTCCAATAACTCCAAGCAGAATAAACTCAAAGAAATCCACGCCAATCAAGACCCATTATTATTCAATTTTGAAAACCAAAGAGAGAATTTTGAAATCAGCAAGAAAGAAGCAACTTCTCATGCACAAAGTATTCACAATAAGATTAACAGATGATTGGGGCGCCTGGGTGGCTCAGTCATTAAGCGTCTGCCTTCGGCTCAGGTCATGATCCCAGGATCCTGGGATCGAGCCCCGCATCGGGCTCCCTGCTCTGCCGGAAGCCTGCTTCTCCCTCTCCCACTCCCCCTGCTTGTGTTCCCTCTCTCGCTGTGTCTCTGTCAAATAAATAAATAAAATCTTTAAAAAAAAAAAAAAAGATTAACAGATGATTTCCCATCAGAAACCATGGAAATCAGGGGTGACCGGGCAGCTCAGGCAGTTGAGCCTCCAACTCTTGATTTTGGCCCAGGTCATGATCTCAGGGTCATGAGATTGAGCCTGGCATAGGCTCCACACTGGACATGAAGCCTGCTTAAGATTCTCTCTCTCCCCACTCCCTCTGCCCCACTCCCTCCCTGGCAAGAAAAAAAAAAAAAGTACAAGGATGGAAAAAGGTATTCCATGCAAAAAGCACTACAAAGAGAGCTGGGTGGTCATATAATTGTTAGACAAAATACATTTTAAGACAAAAGAGATTACAAGAAACAAAGAAGACATTATATATTGATAAGGAGATCAATCCAGGGGTGCCTGGGTGGCTCAGCTGGTTAAGCATCTGCCTTCAGCTCAGGTCATGATCTCAAGGTCCAGGGATCGAGCCCCACATTGGACTCCCTGCTCAGTGGGGAGCCTACTTGTCCCTCTGCCTCTGCTCCTCTCCCTGCTTGTGCTCTTGCTCTCTCAAATAAATAAAATCTTAAAAAATAATAATTGGAGACTTCAATACCCTACTTTCAATAATGGATAGAACAACCAGACAGAAAATCATTAAGAAAGTAGACAACTGGGCACCTGGGTGGCTGAGTTGGTTAAGCGACTGCCTTCGGCTCAGGTCATGATCCTGGAGTCCCAGGATCGAGTCCCGCATCGGGCTCCCTGCTCAGCGGGGAGTCTGCTTCTCCCTCTGACCCTCCCCCCTCTCATGTGCTCTCTCTCTCTCAAATAAATAAATAAAATCTTTAAAAAAAAAAAAAAAAAGAAAGAAAGTAGACGACTTTGGGGCGCCTGGGTGCCTCAGATGGTTAAGCATCTGCCTTCAGCTCGGGTCATGATCCCAGGGTCCTGAGATCGAGCCCATATCAGGCTCCCTGCTCAGCGGGGAGCCTGCTTCTCCCTCTCGCTCTGCCTCTCCCCCTTCTCATGCTTTATCTCTGTGTCTCAAATGAATTAAAAAAAAAAAAAAAAACTTTAAAAAAAAATTAAGAAAAAAAAAAGAAAATAGAACACTTCAACAACCCTAATACCAATTAGACCTAACATACTCAGAAGCCTCTACCCAACATCAACAGAATACATATTCTTCTCTACTGCACATGGAACATTCTCCAGAACAGACCATTTTGCAAGGCCACAAGACAAGTCTTAATAAACTTAAAAAGACTGAAATCATACAAAGTATCTTTTCTTATCACAACAGAATGAAATTAGAAATCAAATCAATACAAAAACTGGAAATTTCACAAATATGTAAAACTTAAACAATGCACTCAAATCAACCAATGGGTCAAAGAAGAAATCACAAGGGAAATTAGAAAATACTTTGAGACAAATGAAAACAATGTACATTTTACCACATTTTCTAAAAACGGATAGAAGAGGGATGTTTCCCATAATTTTTAAAAATAAGGATTATAGGGCGCCTGGGTGGCTCAGCTGGTTAAGCGTGTACCTTAGGCTTGGGTCATGATCCCAGAGTCCTAGGATCAAGCCCTGCATCGAGCCCCTGGCTCAGCATGGAGTCTGCTCCTCCCTCTCCCTCTGCCTCTCCCCCCCGCTCATGCTCTCTCTCTCTCTCAAATAAATCTTTAGAAAAGATTCTTTAAATTAAAAAAAAATTATAAAAGAATACAATAAACAACTGTTTACCAACAAATTGGATAACCCAGATAGAATGGTCAAGTTGTACAAACTATCAAAACAGAGTCAAGAACAAATAAAAAATCCAAATACACTTACAACAAATAAGTAGATTAAATCAGTAATCAAAAACCTCCCAACAACAACAAAAAGCCCACAACCACAAGACTATACTGGTGAAGTCTATTCAATATTTAAAGAATTAACACCAATCCTTCTCAAACTCTTCCCAAACACACTTGAAAAGGAGGGGGCATTTCCTAACTCATTCTCTGAGGCCAGCATTACCCTAATATATGAACATACAGTCAAACAATCATCAACAAAATATTAGCAAACAAAGTAAAGAAGGATAGCTGGAAGAAAGGCAGGCAGACACAAGGGGCCCCCACCCAAGGAGGAAACCACCCTTAAACACCACCCTGAAAGGAGCCTCCACCCTTTCCCACATGATAGGTATATGATAAAAACCTGATAGGGTGACAGGAGCACAGAGAGTTAATCAGATTAAAAGAGCCCACCAACAAGCCCATAAAAACTGCTAGACTGGAGTGCCTGGGTGGCTCAGTTGTTAAGCGTCTGCCTTTGGCTCAGGTCATGATCCCGGGGTCCTGGGATCGAGCCCCACATCAGGCTCCCTGCTCCGCAGGAAGCCTGCTTCTCCCTCTCCCACTCCCCGTGCTTATGTTCTCTCTCTCGCTGTCTCTGTCAAATAAATAAATAAAATATTTAAAAAAAAGAACAACAACAAAAAAACGCTAGACTTAGAAACTCCAGTGGCAACCCTCTTGCGTCCCCTCCCTCTTTAGGAGCTTTGTACTATCACAATAAACTTTGCTTTGCTGCCCACCACTCTTCGTCTGATCTACCTTTTTATTATTCAAAGCAGCATGACCAAGAACCACAGGCACTAAAGGAAAAGAAATCCTGTAACACAAGCAGCATATTATACACCATGACCAAGTGAGATTTACCTCTAGAATGCCAGGGTGGTTCAACATACAAAAACCACTGTAAACACCATATTAACAGACTGAAGGAAAAGGAAAATATAATCGGCTTGACTGATGCAACAAAAAGCATTTGAAAAAATCCAGCAGCCTTTCTTGAAAAAAACATTCAATAAACTTGTAATAGCAAGGAACTTCCTCAACATGATAAAAGTCATCTTACAAAACAAAGACACAGCTAACTGTTCCCCTACAATCAGGAATAAGACAAGGATGTCTGCTTTTTCCACTTCTATTTGACATAGTACTGTTGTAAATTACTGCTAGAGCAATTAGGCAAGTAAAAGGAAAAAAGGCAGCCAAATGGGAAAGGAAGAAATGAAATTATCTTTTTCAGATGACATGATCTTTTAAGTAAGAAAACCTTTAAAGTGCACCCAAAAAAAAAAGGCACCAAAAACAGAACTAAAAAACTAATTCAGTAAATTGCAGAATACAGAATCAACACAAAGATCAGGTCTATGAAATTAAGAAAATAATTCCATTTACTTTAGCATCAAAAAGAATACTTAAGAATACATTTAACTAAGGAAGCAAAAAATATTCTACATACTTTAGCATCAAAAAGAATACTTAAGAATACATTTAACTAAGGAAGCAAAAAAAATTCTACACAGAAAACTACAAAATAATACTGAGATTAGAGTTAAACAAATGGTACAAGATCCCAAATTCATGGATTCCTTCCAGTCTATTTTCCCTGCCTACCCCTTCCTTGCATCCTGCTTTCAGCTTCTAATCACTGCCCTCAGGTAACTGAGGCCAGAAATCAGAACTATTTAAGCTCCTCTTAGAGCCCCAAGGGATAGAAAACTGGAAGACACACCTCTTACAATGTTCATCATTCACTTAAAAGGATTAAGCACTCCACCCCTTGCTTACTGTTATTAAGCTCGAAAATCCCAAGAATGGCTTAGGCTTTTTCCCCCAGAGCTGCCAAAAACTGGAGACTAGGCAGAATTCATGATGTGCAGCCCACTGTGTACTCAACCATTCATTTCCTTCACTTATCACCAATAACTTAATTAACAATATTGTTAAAATGCCAATACTACCCAAAGTAATCTATAGATTCAATGCAATCACTATCAAAATCCTAGGGGTATTCTTTGCAGAAATAGAAAAACTCATCCTAAAATTCATATGGAATTTCAAGAAACTCTGAAGAGCCAAAAGAATCTAGAAAAGGAAGAAAAAAGTTGGAGGACTCACACTTCCTGATTTCAAAAATTACTACAAAGCTACAGTAATCAAAACAGTATCATACTGGCATAGAAAAGACATAGATTATTAGAATAAAACAGAGAGTCCAGAAATAAGCCCTCACATATGTGGTAAATTGATCTGATAATGATGCTAAAAGTATTCAATGGGGAAAGGACAGTTTTTTCCACAAATGGTGCTAGGAAAAACCAGATACCTACATTCAAAGGAATTAAGTTGGACCCTGGCCTTACACCAGTTATAAATATTTAATCAAAACAGATCAAATCAGATAAAGACTTATAATTAGTATATTATATAATTTATTAAAGCACTAATTGGGGGGCGCCTGGGTGGCTCAGTCAGTTAAGCATCTGCCTTTGGCTCAGGTCATGATCTCAAGGTCCTGGGATCAAGCACTGGGCTCCCTTCTCAGTGGGAAATCTGGTTCTCCCTCTCCTTTTACCCCCTTGTGCCCTCCCTCTCTCTCTCCCTAATAAATAAAATCTTAAAAATAAAAAGGCACTAACTGTAAAGCAAAAGACTGGAAAAAATCTCTAATGACCATCAATACCACATTGGTAGGGAAAACTATCATAAAATCATAAAATATGTTACTATACAGCCATAAAACAGAATGAGGAAGTCTCTATTCTGTTATGGAGTGACAGTGAGGACCTATTTACTGTTAAATTAAAAAAGTAATACACACAGCAATATGTAGTAAGTAATTCTGTGTAAGAAAAAAGAAAATGGGGCACCTGACTGGTTCTGTCAGTAAAGTCTGCAACTCTTGATCCCGGGGTTCTGGGTTCAAGCCCCACGCTGGGGGTAGAGATTACTCAGAAATAAAATCTTAAAAAAAAACCAAACAAACAAAAATATATATACTTAAATTTTCAGAAATAAACAATGGGGGCACCTGGGTAGCACAGTCAGTTAAGTGTCCAACTCATGGTTTGGGCTGGGGTATTG